AATCTGCAGGAATAATGAGAAAAGTTTAAAGTTATAAGGAGTGTCTTTATCTCTATGAGTTCCAAGTGGATTTATGGATGTTCATATGTGATGCCAACTGGATATAATGGTATAATCCCAGAGTTTAAGTCACAGTGAATCTAAAAATATGTGTATTTTGTCTGTTTATTTCGATTTGATGTTGTTAATGTGCGACCAAACTACAACCACTAACTTTGTGTCTCTTTTCCTAATGTTGAAATCAACAGCAGATCAGGACGGACAGTCGTTACCTTGCGTCCTGAAGGTTTTCCCACAGAGGTGACACTGGAAGGGCCTCTCTCCGCTGTGTATGCGCAGATGCATGTTGAGGTTGTTCTTCTGGGAGAACGCGTGGCCACAGAGGCTACATACAAAAGGGCGCTCGTTTCTGCAAGACAGAACATAACAGACTCAGTCCGTCTGCACAAAGGCTACCACAGTTATTATGACAAAGCATCACTATCCATTTGGTCTGAATTAATCAGGACTGAAGCAGAAAAAAAAACCACATTCCTCTACCTGTGAATGGCTTTGATATGCATCTGCAGGCCGTTTCGACTAGATGCTCGGTGGCCACATTCCTCGCACACAAATGGCTTTTCACCTCGATGTTTGGCCGCCTCGTGCACACGTAGTTCCGTCCGAGTTAGGAAGGTTTTGGGACACTGGGGACACTAGAAACAAAACGTTAATTTAACAACATTACAATTTTATATATTTGGGTTGAAGTTTGCAACACAAGTTAAACAATGACGGCTATTTACTGCAGGTACTCACTGCGTGCGGTTTGGGATAACCATGGACCTTCATCATGTGAAGTGTCAAGTTTTTCTTGTACATAAACTGCTCAGGACATGTCGAACACTGAATAAAGGACACCATGAGATAAAGAGATTTTGAAAAGCTCATTTAAAGGTTTGATATAATTTACTTCCATCCATGTTGGTTGGGTTGAGGCTGTACCTTGTGGGGCATATCTCCTGTGTGGGAGACAACATGCAGACGTAGCTCTTCTTTTGCAGTAAATGTTAAGGAGCATGTCGGGCAGGTGTATGTCTGGAATTACAACAAAACAAACGCTGATGTTTCCTGATGTTGAAGAAAACACAGCTGAAACTAGGGATGTCCCAATCTGATCTCAAAGATCAGGATTGGAGCCAATCAAGGCACTTTTTCACTGATCAGTATCTGCTGTAACCTCAGCTCGAGCCTTTGTTTACACCAGGAGTCGTAAAGGGAGAGCAGAATTTATGGTAGGACGCTGGGGATGCAAATTTAAGATAGTTTTCTAAATCAACAACTGGCATTGATATAAATCAATAATAGATTAATTGATAACAACTGATACGGGCCACAAAGGCAGTTCTACTACATATGCCACTGAGGTATAATAACAGTGTCCTATTTAATCCTCACTTGGCTAAAATACACAAACTCTGACATGAGGCCATTAAACATCACAAAAGTCTGTTTCATGGTTCCCATTTCTTACTAAACCCAACATGGACCTGCCTGTGGTTTAGCAGTCTGACTCACCAGATGTAGGCTGCAGATACAAGCCTGCCATTGACTGCTCATTTAACGTGGCTTCGTGCTTTTCTTTGAATACCACTGTGTTACTGTTGTCAAAATCCATTATGCTACAGAAAATAACAAGAACAACCTCCAGGCAGCAACCAACCACACTAATAATTTCAAATTTTGGATTCTACAGTAAAGCAGGTCTGCTGTTTGTTTTTTCTTTTCAGTTTCAGCTTTGCTCAAGACTTTTGTGATGCACTGGAGTATTTTTTCACCTAAAGCAGAATGGTCAGACCTTTATGTTCTCCAGAATGGGTTTGCTGAGTGACACTACTCCAGTATTAAACAGTAAGAGGCTCCATCTGGTGGTGCAACCAGGTACTACATCTATTATACAATACATGTTCTGACATCCATTAAGAGAATATGGGTTTGAAGAAAAAAAGAAAAAAATTAATGCATTGCAGAGATTTCCAGTTGTCAAGCATACACACTGGATTCATTGCAATAACAATCATGTACTCAAAGCCTGCACTTTGCTATGAAAATGATATCGGATCGGCAGATACTAAATATTAAATGACTGAGATCAGGGGCAAAAAACTTGATTGGGACATCCCTATTCAAAATATGCTGTTTGTTTTTTTTTGCCTCACTCACCTGCACTTTCGCACAATCTCTGATCTCGTGTATTAAGAGATTCTCCTTCCTGAAGTACCGCTTCCCACATTTGAGGCAACCAAAGGGCCTCTCTCCTGTATGTCGCCTACAGGAGAGACACATTAGCGGATATTCTTTCAGCAGCGGTTACAAGGTAAAATGGAGAAAGCCTCTACCTGTTATGGACTTTGAGGTAGTATTTGCTTTTGAAGGATTTGTCGCAGGTGGGACACTGCACTGTGTCCTTCTTAGAATCTTCCTCCACAGCCTCACCGGTCTTGTTTTTGTTTGTTTTACTCTTTCGCTTCTGTGCCGTGGACGTGGATGGAGGGGAAGAAGTGGGCTTAGCAACGGGGACGTATTCCTCATCTGTGTCCTCAATGAGGCCCTCATACTCTCCCACATCTTCTTCTTCTTCTTCTCCTTCTTCTTCTTCTCCTTCTTCTTCTTCTTTTGCTGCTGCCTCTGCAGTTATCTGGCCAACACCGTTGTCATTTGTGTCAATCTGTAGCTCTGTTACCTGCAAACACCATCAGACAAATGTAATAATGAATGAATCTTTAAAGACACCAACATAATTATCTGCACAAATGCCTCATCGCTGTGTGTACCTCAGTTTCTCCTGCTGGCTGATCATGGTTTTGGTTCTCCGAAACAGCTTCCCCGCTTTCTTTCTCCACAGGAATATTTGTGGCCCTTTTGCTGTCAGAGGTGTGGCCCTCGTCAACAGTCACCAGTCGCTTGGGGCCCTTCACTACCCGACCAGAACGCGTGGTGGTGGTGGTGGCGGCAGCGGTAGCTGTATCAAGGCTGGAGTCATCTTTAGTGACTGCAACCTGGTTCTCCTCTTTCACTGAGGCTGTATCTGATGCAGACTTCCTCGGTCTGCCTCGTTTACGTTTCACAGGCACAGGATCCACAGAGTTTTCCTTGAACTGCTGACAAAGTGTGAGGGCCTCCGTTACGCACAGGCTGGTCGCTGCATGCTGCACCTTGTCCAGGTTGTCGGGACCCAACTTGAGCTCTCCGGTGTAGACGAAGTTCAGCAGCAGCTCCAGGCCGTCGTTGGGGCACCCCTGCAGGTAGAACTCCATGCTGGGGGAGGCGGGCGTGTTGTTGGGCTGCTGGAACAGTTCGCTGAAACAGGCGAGGATGTTGCGATGGGCGAGGTAGACCATCCCGCCTCCCACGTTCAGCGCTGCATCACAAAACTTGCCTATTGCCCTCTGCTGGTTCAGGGAGGACAGGACGCGCTGTGCATGGTTACTGTCTGCTGCAGGCATCCCTTCAGCTTCACTGTGGCTGCTTAAGACACACAAACATAATGATGGTATTAGTTTTATTATTGGTCAATCTGCCAGCAGAAACATCGGGAGAGCTGGTGAGATCAAAAACAAACACAAACTTATGCAGCGTTGGAATGTAACTAAATAAATTAACTGAATTAAGGATCATTTTTATGTGTTTGTACTTCAGTATTTCCATGTTATGCTATTTTCAACTTGTACTCCATGACTATTACTGCTGTCTTTTAGAGGCAAATATAGCATTTGATTTCTTGAAAAATCAAGAAATCAAATCAAATATAGTACTTTGTGCTCCACAACATTTATTTTAAAGCTTTAGTTATTGGTTATTTTGCAAATTAAAAATTGTAAACTTAAATCAACGGATAAATGATTCAATATAATTATAGATAAAGCTACCCTCCAGAACATAAAGTACACATTTAAATGATACAATAAAATACTAAAAAAAAAAGCCAACATTGTCACAGTGACAAAACTGCCGTCATATGTGACTTCTGTACTATGACTGAAAAATAAATCCATATTCTTGATTTAACAAAGAATAGTTTGATCTGTAAAATATCTGAAAATGAAAAACATGCAGTGTGAAGGTGTCACTTTGGACAGCTGTGGTATGAGTTTTTCCAAATTTCGTTTGTGCAAAAAAAATAATGAGCAGACAGAAAATACTCTGTATACCCTGTGTAAAAAAAAAAAAAATACTGGCTACAAAGGTACAATGAAATAACTTGATAACACAACAGTGTAACAACTGCAGCAGCCATTGGTGATCATGGTGACTGAGGCTTACTCAAGTAGCATTTAAAGAGCAGACTTTCCCAGAGAGTAGAAAGTATTTACACTTAAGGACTTACAATCAGAGAACCTGCACTTTCTTTCTTAAAATTTACTCAATCTGATTATTCAAGTATCAAAAATAATTGGTGATTGATTTGAAAGTTGGCAACTAATCAATTACTTGCTGGTTTGATTGTTTGAATGATTTTCCTATATCAGTCTTTCACACTGGGGTCACCAATAACGACAAGCTTAATCATGCTGAGATTAATAATAAAAGCTAAATAAGTTCTAATGTATTTTTTTTTACAGTCGTAGTATTTATACAAATAGTTTTCTTAAAATTCTTGCAAGCCCTTACCCACCTACGCACCTCCACGTTTATTTTCTAGCACATCTCTTTAAAGACGCTCCCTTAGCGTGGTCCGCGCGCGACAGCTACATCTGGAGACTCACGTCTGCAGTATCGATGAAACGTGATATTTAACTCTCGATTTCTCGATGAGCTGCACCCGATCCGACTGTACTGCATACAGAACTGATAAAATAGCAAAGCCTCGCTGCACGCAGCTTGTTTTGGTGTTTGTAGGCCCCTAAAAACTGCAGAAGGAACAGGATGTGACGCTTTTTACGCAACGGAACTCCGGGAAACGTCTCTCATGTCCAACAATAAACGCCAACAATTCGCAACAATACCAATAAAATATCCCCAAACTGAATTATTATTTGTAGCTAAGTTGCTTTTTGATAATTTTACGTCTTTAATTTTTTTTTAAAAAGACAAGTTGTTTCTTTTTTTTACTGCCTTGTAAATAACAACACTCCGGGAAAAGCTATTGTCGACCATCTAGATGCGGCGTCTGTTTGTGGCTCACACATGTAAGCTAGCCTGCTAGCCAGTTAGCATTTCTGTATGGACAGCTGGCTGGCTCCTTGGGATCACTTCGGCAACTTATGAATGCTCTCCACTTGTTCTAGTCGCAGAGAGTGGTCACTACAGTTCAGTATTGTTTTTTTCTAAGCGGGGGGTAAGTTTTCTCTGTCATGCTGCTGCAACGTTAGCTAGCAGCTAATGCTAGCTCCTGTAAGGTGGCGTTAACCGTGATAACTTCACGCCAAGTTTAAAATTCATGCTGTATTCTTGTCTGACTATTTGTTCCCCTTTAACGGTGAAATTATTAATCACTCAGCCTCTTGTGTTGAGTATATAGAGTATCGGAAATGCATAGGCAGCTCGTTAGCATGATTAGCCTATCTCACAAATGCTAATGAACTGTCAGGCTGCAAAGTAAAATAGATTATTCAGATATTTATTTGGAAGTAAATACACCGATGTGTGTTTTTTGGTTGTTTGTTTGTTGGTTTTTAACTTGTCCTTTCTGATGTAAATGTTCTCTTTTGGCAGGCTTCCCCCTTTGTTTTCCATCGGCATCCACATGAGTAATTGTTGATTACAGTATCATGAAGGTAAACAAAAACACACAGGCTAAGCGTAAATCTCAGAAGTGGAATGATGTTAGAGGCAAACGGTGCAGGCCTCCCATCACTTCCTCTGAGCTCAACTCTAGTCCTGTCATGGCCAAGGTGATAAAGGAACACCAGGTGTCTGTGAAGAAAAAGCCCTCTGTCAAGAGACTGAAAAATAAAGCAAAACCTGTCTCTGACCCCAAGATAATCCCTCCTCAGTCTGGATCTAAGAAATCATACAGTCAGGCTAATGGAAGTTCTGTGTTTAACTTGGACAAAGAGTCAGATGACTCACAGGAATGGAAGGAGTATTCACAGTTAATTCACAAGAATGGTGTAGAGACCTCTGACGATGTGGTGGATGCCCGGCCCGGCAGACTGGATGGAGAGGCTCTCCATCTCTGTGCACAGAGAGATGATCAACAAAACCGTGCAGTGCTTGTTATGCAGAAGAATCAGGTATGCTTCAGTGCATTGTTTCATAGAATCAACAGATTTGGCAACAATAAGGAACACAATCAATTTTAGTCCACATCTGTGACTAAGTATTACACTATCTTCCTGCAGACGCTGTGTTTCCGTGGGAAGTGTTTTTTGACCTGTCTGTATGGTCGTGTAGAAGTGATGGGATTCACCATTGAAGAAGGCCAGCAGTCGTACCCACTCTTCTCCCCGGCCTCACATTGTCCACTGACCATTAGAGCACTGGACAGCTCTGATGACAATAGAAATGACAGATCAGGGGCTTCACACATCCTGCAACAGTACCTTACAGCGGGTAAACCACTCAGCTGCTGTGTCACAAAATGGTTGACGATCTGTTTCAGTTTGTATTTGAGCCGAGGAATTTATTTCGGGACACATCAATTTTAAAAAAAATAATTGGGAAATATTTTTTTTCTGTATATATTTTATGTGCCTTTTGCAGCATCACGGAAGAAGTTGCTAAAAAGCGTAAATTCAAGCTCAGCTGTCATCCTGTTGGAACCCATGGAGACGCCTCTGACACGGTTTCTGTCGAGCTTCCCAGATCTCAGTGAACTGTTCAGCCCTCCTGTTGTAAGTTGGCTGACATTTTTAAAGTTGACTACAGTCACTGAATCAAAGAAAGTTCAACCACATGAGAACATCATGAACATTTGCAAACAGGTTAATTTTAGAATCATTTTAACATGTCAGTATAACAGAAGTTTTTCCTTACTGTGTGTTTGTAGAGTGAACTCATGTCAGCTGTTCTTGACACTCCACTCAATGGTTTGGGGATGATTCCACTGACCAGCACCATTGAGGGTCTGAAAATGCCAAAGAGCTACCAAGGTGCCCTTAACACAGTGGTCAATGCTTGCAGAGGTAAGCCCCTTTCAGACTTGCATCTCATCTCTAAAATGTTACTTGTTGACCTTACAAGCACTGGAGTCACTTTCATCCCATTAGACTGCAACTAGTTCCACTTTTGTTCACTCACAGAACAAGTCTAAATAATGTTAAAGGTGCAGCGGCACGTGGGTTGATACAGAGACATATTTAAAGTATGTTTTGTTTGATCTTAAGTGCGCTGTCATACATTCATTGTGCATTCTGTCATTACCTATGCACAGAGAAACAAAACCTGTTTAATAAGCTGTTAAAACACTTAATGTCAGTTCAGCCTATAATATTATGTTGTTTTTTTCTCATAATGCGAAGAGGGCAGCAGAATTAAGCATCAGTTAATTCATGATTATTCCTTTATTGCATTGTTCTGGGGGGAATGAACATTAAATACATGGCAATTGTAATAGAAGACTCACAGTGAAAAGTTTTAGCAGCAAAACAGCTTCATCTCTGCTGCAATGTAGCCTACAGGTAAACAGAAAACACCCTTTTCCTTCATATCATTAAACTTTTGAACTCACCGGTGTTCTCAGCAGTACCACTGTTCCCACATTTTGTGGAAGATGTGTCATCTGTGAATCCTGTCATGGCTGAATAACGCCTTAAAACATTTATGTTACAGAGTCTGAATGACAAAAAGCCATTTCTTACAGCAGACTGGTAAAGCCAACACAGAGACATGTCTTTCATTCACAGGAGATATGGATGGTTGTGCCGTTATTCTTGTGTGTGGGACCAAGAACGTGGGCAAGTCGACATTTATCAGGCTCCTCATCAATACCTTATTGAATCAGTAAGTTTTCTCGAGGTTGACATACCATACCATTATCATTTGTACATATGAAATATATTCTTTACTTTTTTTAATATTGTGTTCTGTTTTTCTGTAGCACTGCTAGTGTAGACTACTTGGAGGGTGACCTTGGTCAAACAGAGTTCACTCCTGCTGGTTGCCTCTCTTTGTCGACAGTCACAGAACCACTTTTGGGTATGTGTTTTTGTCCTTTTGTTGCTTCACAGTTTCACATATTTTTCTTGATTCCATTAGTTTTTGTCTCTCTCTTTGTTTACTTGCTTATTATCAAATATGTTCGATGTTAACTTGACAGTGTTGATATGTAGCTGGTGCTGCTGTTTGGATCAGCTTTGCTTTAAAGCTGGAAACTGGAAAAGCCAACTATAACATACATAAAGAGGAAACATATCTGCTTTCCTTTTTCTAACTTACAGTAAAACATGTTATGTCTTGTTTGTTAAATATGTATAAAACACACATGCTGAAATCAGTGTCACGGGTGATGAATTGCAGCAATACTATAATCACGTTTTGTTTGTCTATGAGCCAATACTGTAGCTAAATACAGTCATTTACTTTACAGTTACTACTTTGTATTATAGCCTGCGACCAGTGCTACCTTGATTATCTTAAGACCAAGTCATACTTCCTGTATCCTTGTGTGCTGACTGGATGTTTCTCTTGTTTTTCTTGCTGTGGTTTTGCACTTTTTACAGGATGTAGCAGCTAGTTACAGATTAGACTGTAGCACTGTGTCAATGCTATTATTTTTGTGGTGGGATTACAGTGGGCAGACATAGCACAGGATTTCTGGAGAATTTAGAACTTCTGTTTTTGGACTGTTAATGCAAAATGTGTAGCTACAAATTAAAGCAAAGAAAGCTGGGCCGTAACTACCTTAATTCCACCTCTTTTAGTGATGAATTATAAAGGTGTGGTTGATCAGGAATCTCCTCACATAGGCTCGCTTCTTGTTTTGAGCTCCATTTTTGTTCCTGACGCATGTGTTGTCAATGCGCTTGCAGTATGTACAGTTTGTGCAGTCACACATTTTGGTCTTTGCATGGACTGACGAAATTTACGTCACGCAGACACGGAAAGCTTGAATGGCCGTTTAGACATGTTTTTGAGACATATTCTCACCACAACACTTTTCTGTGAAGTGCTCCTTTGGCAGGTTTTCACCAGCTTTGCTGTCAGCTTCGTGATAATACTTAAAGAGCAGAGGAGAAAGATCTTGTGCATGTCCTCCTCATAAAGATAGTGCTTTGTGCTGATGTACGGGCTTATGTAGGGTTTACTGTCGTATTTTTATTTGGCAGTTATGTGACAAAGCATCTCTTGAATTTCTGCTGGTTCTCAGTGGCCCCAGCCAAGTAAAACTCTATTACAACTTGTTTTTACACAGACTCCTTGGTCTTCTGCACACATTAAAAAAAAAGTACCATGTTAATTATTGAGCTTTAGGGGCGCTGATAGGCAGTTTTTGTTTCCTTTGGGCAGATCCAGGCTACCTGTTTTCCCAGTTTCTGGTCTTTATACTGAGCTAACAAGCTGCAGGCTGTAGCTTCATATTTACTGCACGGATATGAGAGAGGTATTGACTTCTCATATGATGCAGCAACAAAGCAAGTTTGCTTGTTTACCAACAAGATAGATGCATATTCACTATTCATTTAATGTGTATCTAAAGTGTTTCCTCCATCTGTCACTCCTGTACCGTTTTGGAAGAAAGGGATTAGTAGACTCATTAACTTGTTTTTCAGGTCCTCCTTTCACGCACCAGCACACCACAGAGCACATGATCTACTATGGTCAGTCATCATGCGAGTCAGACTTGGACCGCTACTTGGAATCTCTTAAGTCCTTGTGGCATAGACGCTGCCAGAGCCGAGAGACTCCCGTCGTCATCAACACCATGGGCTGGGTCAAAGGTCAGCTCAGCCTACCCTCTGTGACAGCAGTAAAACAATATGGAGAGCTTTAAATGCGCAAATATTGAGCGCTGTCTGAACATATGTCTGTCCACAGGATTTGGATTCCAGCTGCTGGTGGACATGATCCGCTTCTTCCCGGTCTCACATGTCGTCCAGCTCAGCCATGGCGGTGTCACTCAGTGTCCTGCCCTCACTCCAGAGTTTCTGAGGACGGCACACGGATGTCAGACGCACCCACCTGCCCAGACTGCCCTGGATGAGTTTACAGAGAGCCACAGTCCCCCCAGAAGCTACTCTCACCTTGCTGTACAATCAGAGTTTCAAGGAGTGGGGCGCCAAGGAACAGCGTAAGGACACAACTATCAGCCTGATATTACGGTATTAACCATAGACTGTATATAAGAGATGGATGTAGCCACCGTGGCCTCAGCCATTGGTTTGTGGCTGTTTTGAGGCCTCAAAGTTTGGGATTTGGTCATCTTGCCTCTTGAAACCATACATGTGTTACACAAAAGTATGACGACAGTATGCACACCAACATGGTTGCCAATCACAATGTGGCCCCGCTTTGAAACATACTCTGATTTATCGTGTATTTTACTCTAAATGGGGCCATTATTTTAAAAATTAACATCATGCTGTATTTAAAGTTTTAAAACTTGTGATTGGGACCATAAACTCATCAGGGAAATATTTACAAAGGTAGCTGATCAAGTGAAAAATAGTGTATTCATCCCCTGGTGACCAAAGAATGAAGGTTGAAGGTACTTTGGTGTTGGTTTCACTTTTCAGAACCAGAGGCTACATCCACCTTTAATATGTAGTTTATGGTTTTAACAAACAGTATGAAAGCTTTCATTCTCCCAAACCAGTAGCTTCACTTTAAAATGATGCATTTGACAGGAAGCACCAGCGCACTAATGAGCACAGAGAGCTGTCCATGCTGGCCTACCTGAGTAAGCTGCAGTCTTCTGACCCTGGACCAGTTAGACCTCTACACAGCCTCACCCCATACCAGGTACATGAGAAACATGTGGCTCAGTCTGTGTCAGTTCAGATCGTGTCTCAGATTTTGTTCAGTCTTAAGAATAATGTTCATTTGGGCCAAAAAAATATGTTCTGTGAAATATGTGGGCCGAATTTTAAGAATTTCGTATGTTTTGCTGGAGTTTTTGTGTTTTCACTCTCAAAAACATCTTACCAGGGAAGCTACTTTAAGGGTTCAGTATTTTCAGAAATCTAACTCCCACAGCCTTGAAACTTGATGGACACAGAAAAAACTGTTTCCAGCAGATCCAGGTGATTGAATGGCTGCTGTAGAGGCCACTTTTTAAATTATTGCCTCTTGAAAATAGAAAAACTTGAAATATTTTCAAAGAAGAGCAGTATTGGTGCCCCATGAAGTTCTTGTAAGTGTATCTACATTGATAAATCGACGTTTCCTACAAAGAATACAGTCTTTGATCATCGTTTCGCCAACTTCAGGGGCATCAGCATCAAGCACAAGTGGATGCGTGGCAAGTATAGAAAGACAAGGTTCCAGGTTTCTGCTATTTTGACATGCCAAAATGGTGATGTGGTCTAATTCCTAGAACCACAAAAGCTGGTGTCCGTAGGGGTCTATATGTTGTCTTTATATGTGCAAATTAAGACGTTGCTTTCATGCTGTCTTCGTGTTGATATTTAAAAACATATAAGCCTTATTTCGCCTTACTGAATGTAAGTAATATAAAAGATTCAGCCAGAATATTTTCCAGAACTTAGTTTTGGGTCCCAAATAAGACACAGGTTAACTCTGACCAAAATCCAAGCTAAAGACAGTTTTATTTTGCACATTGTACCAAGTTCTAAAGCTAAAATCATCAAGATTACATTCGCTTGTGTGTGTATTAATTGAACTGAACTGAACTGAACTGAACCCACAGGTGCCTAATACAGCGGTGGCTTTAGGTGTGATCCACTGTGAGGTGGTGCCCACTCACATGCTTTATGCTGCCAATGCCAGTCTGGTGGGACTCTGCTGTCTGTCAGAGAAAGTAGCCAGCAGGGGAGGACCAGTCCTGCTGTCCCAGGCCCCGATCTGCCCATGTGTGGGCTTAGGTATGTGACTTTAATATTTACTGTGGCTTTACTTTGCTTAGGTCCACTTATGTATGGGTGAAAATAATGATGATTCAATGAACTATTTATTTTTTTATATCCCACTTTGTTTTCTAAACTTGTGAAAATCTAATATGTAGAAAAAAATATTGAATTGGTTACTATTTTCTTTGTCTAAAACTCAGATGGACATTTCATGACGTTTTAAAATACAGAAATGACCATTACGTGGGGTTAATATTTAGGGATTCACGATATATCGACGACCACTATCGGGATCATTTTTTTTCAGATATATTGGTATCGGTCTGATGAACAAATAAACAAATGTAGCCGATGTGAAAAACCAACGATGGTCTAACATTAGTGCTTTTGTTTCTTCATTTGATATTGTTGCTATTTCACAGATGTTTTTACTTAAATGGTCCTGGACTTGAACGTAATATATGTTAAAATATGCTTAAATATGTTTTACTTTTGTTTTGTAATAAAGAAGACTATGTGGTCTAATTTGGTATGGGCGTCTTTTGAATAGTTTTCATGTTCTCACAGTGCTTACTGATACAATTTTTTTGGTGTGAACAAAAATTGAATATCGACATCGGTGATATTGGTGATATCAGAAATTTTAATATTGGATATCGGTATCGGCCAGAAATTGTAATATCATGCATCACTATTAATAATGTAAAAAACTGATATATTTCAGAATGTACGAGTTAAACAAATACGTTTGTTTTGTTTGACAAATAAGTCATGCACAGACAAAGAGGTGTACAGTACATTGGCCAAAATGATAATCACAATTACTGTTTCAATTGTCAAAATTCATTGCATTTACCTGTTGATGTCTTCCAGGTGTGCTTCGAGGCATCGACATGGCTCGAGGTCTGTACTATGTTCTGACACCTGTAGATCCCTCCGTCCTTCGGAAGGTCAACTGCCTCCTCTTGGGAGCCATTTCATTGCCTTCATGTATCCTCACATCACAGGTCAGATGTCAGCTCATACACAGCACTCTTTAAATGACATTCCAGCTCATGAAGTGATACATCAATAACCTTCCAGAGCTTTTCTTTTCTTGTGCTTATAGTACCTTTGTCTCTGTTTCAGCCTGGCGTTGAAGGGGAGATGCCCTATGTCACTACAAACTACAGTTTTGATCTCACGGGTGCAGGAAAGCTGCGAGTTTTTAAGGGAATGATGAGGCCCAGTCAGATGGGGATGCAGTGACATTTTCTCTGCCGCATTGCTTTATTGCCCTTTACATTTCTTGACTGGTGTCTTACACCAAACCCGTCAGCACTGGCCTTTGAATGTACAGAACTGAGGTTGAGGTGGGACAGTTTTTTTTTGTTTTTTTTTTATGATTCAGACTCTCAGACGGCTGCCATCCTCTGCCTGGACTTTTTGTTTGTTTGTTTTAAACCCTGAGTGTTCTCGCCAAGTCTTACAACCTGCTACTGTACGTACATTTAGTGGCTCTGTGAAGGAGTTTCTCAGTTTCCCAGTTTCCACATGGACAGTAATATATAACAATTCCTTGTAGTTGAAACGCTTGTGTGATGTCTCTTCTTTGTAGGTGACATTCCATAGCTAAATATCTCCCAGATATTAAATGAAAAACTACTTTTGTTCAGACTTTGTGTTCCTTGCCTTCAGTTGTTTTTTGGGCTCAGTGTTACTGGTGATTGTTTCATACAATCTTGTATCCATGTAGGTGTCCAGCAGGTCATTTTAATCTATCACGGTATGCAGTGAGATCCCTTCATCTATGACAAATGTAATATTGGATAAACTGTCCACTGCCAACACTTTCCACGTTGTTTATGCTTACAGCCATTAGTTAGGTAAAGAAGTGCAAGTCGGAGTTAAGGAGGGATCTTTCACGTGACATTTTCTGTGAATCGGGTGAATTTACAAAAAAAACAACACCCATTTTGTCAGTATTGTTTGTATGCCAGTCAAAGACTTGAGAAATGTCTCCATTTTTACTGCTGTATATCTCTGCTTTGCCTCTGTTAAAGGGACACTGTTGTGTTTCTGCACTTAAAGGCCATTCAGGGGGTTTTGTTTACGATTTCTTATGTGGCTATAAAAGATAAAAATAAAGATCTTGTTTCTAGATTCTATCTTTTTTTTCCTCAAGGGGGCAGCAGACCTCAATGTTGTGATTTTGCTGCAGATCAACAGCAGATGTTCACTTACAAAACGTCTGAAGGGCAGGAAAGCTGCAATAAAAGCTGCTCAGACTCCAGCCTGTAATACAGAGGAACCATAATGTTTCATAATGGCTTCAGAGGAAGAGTAAGAAATTACCAACCTCGTCGGTACAACTTGCTGCTGCATGCAGACTGACCTTTACATTTATTTGAGCGGAGGACTCGGCCGTAAACAGTCAGTCATGGAGCGGAGAATAGCTAATTTGTTAAGTGGGCTGTTTTACCATCGCCTCTGTGCCCCCTCGCTTTTCTTTGTTCGCTGTTCCCCGCCTCTTTATTGAGTGTGGGAGCGTACAAACACAACACAGCTACACTTTGGCACAGTCATTGTTTTGGCTTTGTCAGGTCAGATGTTTTCCCCTAGACTTCATGCAAATCAAAGAAAAATCTCAGTGTGGAGCTTCCGACAGACAGTCGACTTGAACCGGACAGACAGAAATTAGTCTGTAAAATGTTGTCAAGTTTGGAATACACTTCAGTTTTCTGATATGTACTCTCAGTAGTGCATGAGTTGTAGCACCTGGAGTCATTAGTCCATAAGTGTACGGTGTCATTTTTCCAGCTTTTCAGTTTGTACACATTTGCAATTAGTCATCTGTGACGGTAAATCACTTATTTTGGGTTGTTGATTGGAAGAGACAAGCTGTTTAAAGGGCTACGTACCATTGCAACAGGAATTTTCCCAGCTATTACCTGACATTTTACACACCAAATCATAACTTTGTCAAATGAAGAAAATAACGAACTGTAGTTGATGACTATGCAGCTCTAACAGGACACACGGGCTGTTTTGTGAAGGACTGTTCATGTGGTGAGTCTGGAAAAGGTTCTTGATCTGTTCAAAGCTTGGAACGTCAAGCAGAAAAGCACAGAGAGCACCTGCCAACGTGCAAAGTCATGCAGAAATCTCTGCTGTGTTGCTGTATTTTAGTCATAAGCCTTGTGTTGGCAGTAAACTCTCGACTTTTTTCGAGTAATCTGTGCCACACTTATGTGATGTCTGTTCGTCTCCTGCCTGCAGACAACTGTGCTGTAAAATCTTAACAATGCAGGCTCAGTGTGCCACTATTGTAACCGTTCAAATCTCACATTTCAGTTATTAAACAGAAAAAAAAATAAACATGACAATGAGGAATATTTAGCAGGCTATTTTATTATGTTGTTTTTGGTAGAAATAATGTAACTATAGCTGGATTAACGCACTGGGGGCCACATGGAACAAAAATCTCCTGTTCCCTCCAGCTTGTGCTGTCTGATTAAACCAAATTAATGCACCATGTACACACAATATTTGTTGAAATAATAAAGATCTTAAAACTAGATTGTTATTTAAATCGAGTCACAAAATTGAAACCACGTCAAGGTCCTTCTCATATCAGCTAAGCAGTAACAGTTAAAGCCCAGCTGATATTTGTCTATCACAGATATATCTGTATCAGAAAACTATGCCTGGGGTAATTTATGAAACTGGGGCATTACATAGTTTGTCCAGCAGAGCAGCTCCGACTTCACAATTTACAAGACTTGCAACACATGTAGCAGAGTACATGTCACAGCTGAACAGAGGGCGGTGCAGAGTCGAGTGGTGTCTTCATGATAAGCTGCTAACTAGTTTGTGAAATGCAGTTTTGGAAAATGAACAAACAATGACCCAGTCATTTACAATCATCAATAAACTCGGCCATATATATATATATAAACAATATCAGCCAATAGATTGATATCAGAATTTATTTTTCCTTAAAATAAAGATTGGCCCCAAAAATCCAGTGTTGGTCAGGTTCTATTAAATAATCTCCAGTTCTCAACCCTATAAAGTATTTTGTGTTACCAATTTCCACAACTTAATTAAATGCAGGATGCAAGATAAAAATTCAGATTTACTGATATTAATAAACCTTCTATGTTGCAGCGTTATGTTGATGAGTTGTGTTGACACAATAATGTTGTTAATTGTATCAACTTAACATTGTGTGTGATTTGAACTCAGATTCCTGCATTAGTTGCTTTAAAACTCAGTTGTGGTAACTTCATGAATTTGGCTGGATAGCTTCCTTTTTCTCCACCATGAGATCAGGATTTCAAGTCCCTACTCCTGCCAACTAAACATGCCTGGACTTTTTCAGATGATTAAGATGTGAGTTAGAGAACCTGTAGGCTGAAGAAATATGATACAAACGACATTTTGAGGTGTGTATCATGATTTTTGGGGGATTTTTTTTTTTTTTTTTACAAATAAATTCCATTAAAGCAATGAATTTGGAAATATTTAAAGTGTGACATGAGCAACAGTGGAGTCATGTATGATTCATGAGTTTATGCACACTTGCTTTTAGAGCTGATGGAATATGTTGCACCACTGAACATCCCTAATGCTAATCATGTTTAGAGTAAAATCTGGTCATCCTGCTCTTGACTTTAGCAAACTAGTGGCTAAGAATGATAAAGGTCCATTCAACACATCTGTTCAGGTAGAGAGGGTGTGTCATTTTTATAATTAATGGGGTAATTTAAATTAGTTAATTAACAACAATTTTGTTGTAAAATTAATCTCTGAACATGAAAAAGCCAAAAAATGAGATAACTCTTAGCACATGTTCAGAGAATGTTCCTAGATGTTCTCTGAAAGTTCTCTGACCAGTAAAATTAAAGGAATGGTCAAGGAATGTTCCCTGGATGTTCTCAGAAGGTTTCCAAACAGTAATCTTCAGGGAACATTCCTTGGGCCTTTTTCTTAAAGGCAGACTATGAAGGTTCAACGAACAAAGTAACCGTTAGGGAATGTTCATCTAATGTTCCCTGGATATTCTCAGAAGGTTTCAAAACAGTAATCTTCAGGGAACATTCCTTGGACCTTTTTCTCAAGATTCACTAAAAAAGTAGCCTTAGAGAATGTTCCTTGGATGTTCTCTCAAAGTTCAGCGACTAGTAACTCTTAAATGACCTTTAGAGAATATTCAGGGAACATTCATAGATGTTCTCTGAAGGTTCAGTGACCATTACCCTTCAGGGAATGTTCAATGGATGTTCCATGGAAAGTCTATGAAGGTTCATTTCAGTCACAGAATGTTCAGGGAATGTTCCCTGGATGTTCTCAGAAGCTCTCCAAACAATAATCTCAGTGAATCTTCAGGGAACATTCCTTGGACCTTTTTCTTAAGGTTCAGTGAAAAGTAACCTTTGGGGAACGTTCCCTGGACCTTTTCTCGAGGTTCACCAACAGTAACTCTCAAAGACCCTTTAGGGAGTGTTCAGGGAACATTCCCTGGACGTTCTCGGACAGTTCAGTGAACAGTGTAACTTCAGGAAACGTTCATGTGATCTTTAGGGAACGTCTGAAGGTTCAGTGAGCTTCAGGCTGTTGTTTGCTGGATGGTTACCTGGTGTCATGTTCACACTGTTGACGGACCGTGATGTGGACTAAATGAGGAGGAAACTGAACGGACCTCTGCTGAGTGCAGCTGAGTGGATGTTGCGGATCTCTGGCGCCTCTAGCAGCAGCTTTGCGCCACTTGCGAGACAAAGTGCACAAAGTCTTTGTGGGTGCAGGCTGCGTGAATGAATGGAGGGGAGCCGACGGTGGATCAGGGAGGGCGGCGAGACGACTCGTCTGGACAATGAGCGCTCAACTTCGGCTGCACGTCGCGCAAAGTTGCTAGAAGGAGCTTCAACCACGAAGCTGCAGCTTTAAAGGCCCCGAAGAAGCTTTCTTTCTTTCTTTCTCCTCGAAATCCTGCAACGACCGAGCTTCACCGACAATCGGAGGACGTCGAGGAGATTTCTGCTTCTCCTTCTTCGCATGTGTGCAACAGGTTATTAAGAGCTTAGCAGCGCGTCCAGCCCGCAGCTGTGCCACATTAGCTCTGCGGTAACTTGGATGCTTTTTTTTT